AGTCTCAACCAAGTTCAGGGTTGTGGGGCATAACAGGGTCTGAAAGAGGCACTTCTGCAACCTGGGAATGCACTGTTCCACTTGAGGTCCCCCTGCAGAACCAGAATCATGTTCAAAGGCTGACAGAGTGCAAAAAGCACTGAATAATGGATGTGGTAATGGACAGCTTAGCAGACACCTTCCTCCGCACTCAGGACTGCACATTCCTGACAGCCCCAGAGAGGCCAGGATGTTTGTCTAAAGAACATGAGCAGCATTATCAGCTGGCAGAAAGGAAGACTGCCTTCATGTCCCTTGTTTCCTTGAGGAGACTGATGATAAATTCATCCGTTCTAAGAGCTGCTAAGTAGAGGCAGTGGAAACTCAGGAGCCCAAGGACCTCAGTGATATGCCCAGAAGGCACTTGGCCTACAACATCCTGTTCATCCTTCAAGGCTCTGCCCAAGTGAAACCTCCTTCCTGTCTCTCTAGCCGGCTAACACTCCCTATCAGTCAGCATCTGTGCTATCGGGAGTTCAGAGACCCAGGCATAAACAAACAAACAAACAAACAAACATAAACAAGCCTGTGTGCAAATCTACCAGCTGCCTTGACTAGGCGGAGAGGAAATGTGTATTTGCGGGAGTGAGTGGGAATAACCCTTCTTCTGGTTCTGAGTCCTAGGAAAGGGTGGAGGGGAGCATAGCATGACCCTAAGAGCAAATCTGCTAAAAAAAGGGAGCATGATAGGTTTGGATCAAAACAAGCCAACAAAAGCATCCAAGCATATTACCTGTGAAAGGGGAACAAGGAAAGTGCAGGTACAGTTCAGCACCCCACGGTTACGGGGTCTGGTGGGGTAAACCAGAGCATGGATGCAGGAAGCTGGGGGAGGAGAATGAAGAGAGGAAATCGGCTTTCTCTCTGGACCTGCAGCCCAGCTCATCAAGACAAAACTGCGGTCCTATAACTTGAAGCATTGAGGTAGGTACGACCCACAAGAAATGCAACGAACTCTAACTTCAGAGCCAAACTCTATCGTGCAATACACCTGACGTCACACCTTGGTGAGGGGATCTCTGACCATGGAAGGTGACAAGGAGCCAGGGACTAAGCTCTATGACAGACGTTTTGGAGCTGCAGTCAAACATCCCACTGGCTCCATGGCCCACAAAAATTTCCATGCGCACACGTGTGGGTTTTTTGGTTCTGTTTTGTCTTTTCATGGGGAAAGGGTCTACCATCAAAAGCTCAAAGAGATCCCAACTCCCCAGAGGAGTAACTTTAGAGGGAGTGTTGAATAAAAGTGATTCCTGTCCTCAAGGAGCTCATAGAAAAGTAAGAGAAGCAAACAGAATAGAATAGCTCACACCGTTTAATCCCTCCTCTGCACCAAGCCCCGCACTGATTCACATCCTTCAGCTCATTTAGTCCTTAACACAAACATTTTAAGGCAGGTACTGTTACTAACCCCAAACCCAAGGCCCTTAAGAAAATCAAAGTCAATGGCTCATGTGGATTCATTAAGAAAAAGTAACGCATTGTGATCATGGTCATGGCAAAGAGGAACAGAGAGGTCTCCCGGTGTGGGGTGGGCGGTGGTTTATTACTTTGGGGCAAAGAAGGCTTCCCGGAGGAGGTGTGCAATTACCTAGCACACTCGCAATCCCCTGCTTTGCTGGCACATTACTTGTAAGGGCAACACTCTGAAATGTTCTCATTTAATCTAATCCATAGCCCCTGTTAAGGGTTTTACATAAAGCCTCCAAACAAAGCTACAAGGCAGGCACTACTTTCTCTTTACAGATGATGACACGGAGGTTTAGAGATGTAAAACGATACTCAAAGACCCTTGGTACGTGGCCCGGATGAGAGCATACCCAGGTCTGATGCTGAAGATCAGGCCATTTCCTCTGGGGCTGATTCGTGGTTTGCCCCAGTGACCGCCTCATACTGAGTCTCCTACTCGGCTCTGGGCAGACCTGGACCCAAGGAAGAAGAAACCCAGGGGTATCTAGAGCAACGACCACAGGGCAGTTTCCTTTCTTGTGGGAAACCTGTGGAAGGCCCCAAACGGCCCGGAAGCTGCTTAATAAGCACAATTTGGTTGTCTTTGGTTTACTTGTGCTTCTGGCTAAGGAGCAGGTAGCGAAGGAGCAAACAGCAAGCTGACAGCAGGGATATTCAGAGCACAGAGGCATCCTAAGAGTACGCACTCACCAGAGAGGCGGGTCCATAGAGGCCAGCCTAGAGGACAGGAAGGTCCCAGAACAGGGAGGGATGTGGGATATTTAAAGGACCTCTAAGAAGTTTAGGCAAGTGGGATCAAGTTTCCAACACATATGCTATCTTCTCCTCAAAACCATTTAGTAAGTTGGGTTCAGTGACTCTTTTTGGTAGATGAGAACAATGAGGCACAGAAACAAGGGAACTTATGAGAAGTCCCACAGGTTGTAAGAGCAGGAATTGGGATTCCAAATGCAAGCACCTGCCTTGGTGCTTTTGACTTGTGACCTCTCTTCGGCTTTTAAAAATGTGGAAACTGTTTATGGAAAAGCCAGAATTCACCCAGATGCTTCTAGGACTCTGTTGGGAACAGAGGTCTGGGAGCTTCTGCAGGCCACTCAGGCAGCCCAGAGAGTTCCCAAGAAAAACCTTAGCATCTTTACTTAATGCCTATTTCAGCGTCCGAAAAAGAGGAAATTAATTCCCTTTAAAAGAAAGCAGGGTTTTCATCAATTTCTTCTATAGGGCAGAGTTGTTTGTATGTTTATGAAACACTCCTAGCATGGCTGTGTCATGCCCAGCTTCTATGTGCTGGACCCTAGGCTTGCTTCTGGTAGTTCAGGGACCTGGAGAAGCTCCTGGAAGTGATGGGCAAGGAGAAGAGTTTCAATGCTGTGTGCTAAGTGCTCTTAAAACAGAGGAATGATATGGAGTGGAGCACAGAGGGAGGGGTGATCCGCTGACACTGGGTAGAGCAGAAAACCAGAAAGTCTCCCTGGGCCCCCAGGGCCTGAAGCTAAGCTGGGATGTTAGGGGAGGATGCGGCTCCTTCAGGAGGCTGCAGAGTGCAGGAGAGCAGGATGGGCGGGGAGAGGGCGGTCAGGACGGAGGTAGACCAGAGGTACGGGCTGAGGCCAGCATCAGAGTATTGTGTATGGCAGGCTAAGGAGCTTGGATTTTTTTTTTTTTTTTTAAACCTACTAAGCATGGAGATGGTGTGGACAGACTGTTAATAAATTCAGAAAAACCAAGGCGGCAAATGGAGCATGTTTCCTCATATATCTAAACCTGTTAGGGGCAAGTGAGGCAATTTAGGCCGGCACAAATTGAATTGTGGGGAGCTGTGTGATGGGAGCTGAACCAAATGGAAATATGGAAAACAGACCAGTGTCTAGTTGACAAGGAGGTCTGACAAATGCAGAGACCTCAAGGAGAAACACGGCTTTTTCTCCAAACAGCATTGTGGTACATTCTCTACTACATTGTAGACTCAAGTTTCTGAGAAGGCCATGCATTCAGATATGCTTTTTGCAAAATCTAACCACTGCAAGCAGTAGTTAGGTGGGGTATGGCAGTTGCAAGATAGTGGGTAAGGAATGGACGTCGACAGGAAGAAATTTCACCAGGTAAAAGGGGAGTGAGGACAGGGGAGGGTAGGAACCCAGAAAGACTTTCAACTCGAGAGGACAGCAGCTCAGGTTTGGAAGGGACAACAGAGCTTGTCTTCACCCTCTACCCACTCCACATTTGAATCCCCCGTAGTCTTTCTGACCAGTCATCCTCTAGCCTCTGCTCACACAGCTCCAGTGATGGGGAGCTCACTCCCATATATGCCAGCATTTCCACCCTTAACAGCTCTGACCACCATTCAGGAAGGTCATTCTCCCTCTAGGCTGAAGGTAGCCTTCTTGTAGGACCCCTCACTGGTCTCAGTTCCATGAACCAGCCAACACAGAACAGCGTCCTCCCTCTTCCATCCAGTGGCCCTTGGTGCTCCCATCTCCAAGTTTATGGTTTCTTTTCTCTAGGCCAAGCATTTCTAGGTCCTTCTGCGGCCTCCCTGGGAATGGGGATTCAAACTGCCCTATCGATCTGACCTTGAAACATGCAGGGGTGCCTTTCATGTCTCTCACAGGGTGGGGCCCAGGACCAAAACCAATGTCCCAGATAGCATCATTCAGCCTCACAACCGTCCTATTAGGGTCAGAGCTGGAATTTCTAAGGGTCTGTCTTCACAGCCTGTGCTTTTTCTATCCATTATTAAGCTGAGATCAACAGTGACTAAATACCCTAGTTCTTTTCACAAGGACCATGGCCAAGTCACATGTCCCCCTGAGCAAAAGTTTCTCGGTGCTCCCAAGTTGTGGACAGAAGCTACCTTCTGAGTGCCAACCAGAGGTCATACACACAGGCCTGGCCTAGCAGTGGCATGAGGCAGTGTCACAGAGCTTGCAACTTCCCGTTTACAGAGGTCCCTCCAGCTGCTGGGGTCTAGAGGTAGCGGAGAGTTCTTTGCACTATACATTGCCTTTTTTTATAGTGGTCTGTCCACTGGCTGGACCCACATACACCACAAAGGCCCTGGCCACCTCTCTGACTGTCCCTCTGAGACTTGTCAAATTGGATGGCTGACCCTCATCCCAGGATCAAGACACTGCCCCCATCTTCCCAGGTATAATGAAGTCTTTGGTGGGAGACTTTTGGCATCACACACTTGAGACCTGAAACCTGAGACCTTGAGGCCTTCAGACATAGTGGTTTGCACAATTCAACTCACTGCCGCTCATAGGGCCAGACCCAGGTCCAGACTGGCCCCCCTTCCTCAGCCCACAGTTTCTGCCTTATGCCTCCTTCTCTCCGACTCACTGAGGAGTCCTTGGCATGGAGACCCCGGCAGAGCTCTACCCGTTGTGACACTTATATCCAGAAGAGGTGTTCCTTTCCTTAGCTGGTAGACACAGTTCCTTAAGAAGGCAGGTTATGCGAACCTGGCAGAAGAGAGAAAGTGTACTTACACTTACAGGTTGACTTTTTGGCACATCATAAACACCTTCCTTCTTTTGGCTGGTGGGAACCTGTGGAAATATCAAATTCGACACCATTAAAACACTTTGCTATTCCACTTTCGAAGAACAAAGCAACCCCATTTCAACTCCAAGCTGGCTGGGTGTGGAAGAGAACGGCCCCTGAGGCCTAAGGGTCCCAAATCAAAGGGGCTGCTGGGATTGTAGGGACAGCAGGCCAGGCTCCTTCCCTGGGGACAGCTGGGTGAGGGAGGAGCATGTGGACCACTTCATAAATGTTTGCAGAGGCTCTCTGCCACTGGGCTCCTCCCAGAATCACAGAACAGGGGGCTGCGGAGACCCCAGGGCTCACGGGGTGGCAGAAATAATCCTCGTTTTACCAAGGACAGAAATGGGACCCAGGAAGGTGATCTGACTCGTGCAAAGCGATTAAAATGAGTGTGCAGCTGAGCTTAAGTTGCTTGGTGCAAAGACTAAGAGCCAGGTTATTCAAAATATGGCAAATATCAAGTTCTCAGTATTAAGAATGGCTTCTGCTGGGATTGTAGATAAACCATGTGATAGTCACAAACGTTTTTTCCAAGAAAAGGGGCCATCAGTGGCATGAAACACGTAAGACGAGAATCTGGAAAATTTCAGTTGCTTTTGAAAATCTATCTACATCTTCTTCCCTCCCTCTTTCCTCTGACTTGTCCGTCTGGTCTCACTACTGGGCCACTTGGTAACTGCACCGCCCTGAGCAGGCTACTTAGCTCCTCTGGGCTTCATGGTTATAAGATGGGTGCTCTTGGCTCTCTTCTCGGGTGGGTTATTGTGGGGATCAAAGGAGAAAGGAGAAGGTAAATATAAACTATTGGGAGCTATAATCCTGTGAAGTCTTAGGATGGTAGCTTCTTTCACTCCTGACACCTCATGTAAGTATAAGAATGTATTCTGTAATACCAACAACCATAGATATGTTGAATACTTTTCTAATGAGTCAATCAAGGGCTTTACACCAAAACCTTCCGGCTTGCAAGCAATCACTCGCACTTCCCAACACAGCACAGCTCACACTTCCAATGGCCTGTAGCCTCAGCCTATCGTGACTTTACAAATGTGTCTCTTTTCATCAGATTGGGAGCTCCTTAAGAGCTGGCATGGTGCCTACAGCTCAGTAGGCATTGGGTAAATGTCTTCAGGGTAAATGTATCATCAGAAATGTGGGCAACAGTGAGGAAACAGAAAAAGTATCTCTTAGGCTTGGACCAGCCAACTCTACCACTGAGGAGAAGGAGGAGGAATTTCAGCTCCATCCTCGAGTCCCCCTTTCTATCTGAACTCTCATCAGCTCAACTTAAAACCCTTATAATAATCCTAAGAACTTGGTATCAGAATCTTCACTTTACATAGTAGAAAGAGAGGCTCAGAGATGTTAGGGAAACCCTTCCAAAGCTTGCAAGCTAGTTAAGTGATGAGATTCAAACCCAGCTCTTTCTGGCCGCCAGATGAGACGTTTATGACTAACGGCATGAATTCACATGGACAGGGTGCCTTCTGTGTGCCAGGCACTGTTCTGAATGTTTGTGTTTACACGTATTCTCATGTAATTCTTGGGACCAGTCAGTTGGGTAAGTATGACAACTGCCCCCGTGGTGCAGAGGAGGAGAAGAAAGCCCAGAGGGGCTCCTGCAGGTGAGCAGGGCTGCCCGAGTCGGAATCCTGGCGCTCTGCTTTTTAACTACTCCACTGTACAGACAGCTGCATCTCAGCCCCCATCCACGCCAGTACCCCATCCCTGTAGCTGTTCTGATGGCATCTTTTCCTTGGACATCACTACCATACTCTCAGAAGGCTGTGCGCATTCTTGCAGAAAAGAGGACAACAAGGGAGCACGGAGATGCACTTTCTTTTTTTCTTTTTTTGGAGATGCACTTTCTGAGCTGCTCTTGCAAACCTCAGCTCGCTGGTCATCAATGAAGAATATAGTTTCTTTGCTCCTGATTAACGGGCCCCCATCTGAAAAGAATCCTCTAAGAATGCCTACCGAGTCCTTGCTAACAAGGGCCAATAAATTACCAGCCCGCACTTGTATTTTTACTAGCTCACCCTTTCCTGAGCCAAATGAACAACATTTCTGTGTCCCGTAATTCACGGCTCACTATGAGCACTTAGCAAGCTGAACCACGGCTGACTCTCAATTATCCCTGCAAACGGAGAAGCGGCAGGACGGATAAACCCAAACTGTGCATAATTGAAAAAGCTTGGCTGCCCGGCTCTCCCATGGGTGAGATATCAATCTGCCTGTTTGTCCTTTAAGATTTATATCTGCTGGGATGTCTTCTTGGGAGCCTCGCCTGGCTCTATACCTGGTGGGAGCCTTCCTCTGTACCCTTAACCTCTGGTACGATCTTCCACTAAAAAAATTCAAAGCGGCCAAGTGCCCATTACGCGTCATGCTCTGTGCACTGCCCGGGACAGTGATGGAGAACAAGCTGGGTATGGCACCCGAAGGAATGGAGCTTGTCTTATTCGGGGGAGGTGGGAAAGAAATCGGGCTACTCCCGTGAGCATAAAATGTGCTGTATCTTATACGGGAGCTGTCAAACCACACTGCAGTTCTAAGCTGGGGCCGGGCGGAATAGTTCACTACCTGTTTCCCCATCGGTAAATACCGGTTACGCAATGTTTAAGCACCAAACATTTACCAGGCATGTGCTAAGGGCAGAACACTGGCAGCAGTGCCTGAGGGGTGAAAGCCAGAGAGAGCCTGGTCCCTGTTCTCCTCGCTGCCTGCCTGGTCGCATCTGCCTGTAGACCATTTCCTAACATGACACTGCAGAATGAGCGAGAATGGTTCTGAACCAAACGAAAGCGGGAGAGCTGGCTCCTGATTCCGGCTCTGCCACAGGCTGTGTGATCTGAGAGGGTCCCTTTGTTCTCTGAACCTCAGTCTTCTCATCTAGCTGTCGGAGGCATGCAAGGGGGTGCCTAGAAAGTCCCGGAGGGTCGGGACCATGCCGCGGTCCATTCCATCTCTACGTGCCTGGCACACACTAGGTGCTCCATACAGAACTGCGATTTTAATGAAGGAGTTAACAGATGTGGAATTACTGTGGAAGTTATACGGGAACCACCATAAGCACAGAAGACGCTTTCAGCTCAGTAACATCCTAATAGTGTTAGAGAGGCGGTTTAAGGGTTGAGTGATGTAAGCAGAGGCTTATCATCTTAAAACAACAATACTTGATACATCACGGGTGATTAAAAATGATTTTTCAAACCAAAGAACGTGAAAAGTGCCCGCGTGGAAGGCCGCCGTCTTGCTGGCAGGAAGTTGTTAACTCGATACGGAATGCCGGGTTTAGAAGCGGAGGCTCTGGCCTCGGGCCCGGCCCTTGAATCGGACGACTTGATTTTCTTATGGTTTAAAACGATAGTCATCGTAGCTATTCTTATCCTCCTGAATTATTGCGAGGGTCAACGTTAAGTGAGGCATAAAAACCCTTGTGCCTCAAGGTTCTGTGTTGTTTGTAAAAAGATGACGGATAACTTTTTCTGACGCATGCAAAAAAGGAAGACCATTATTATTCTTAATCTGGTTTGGGAAATGAGACTACTGATCCTCAAAGAGAGGTTACATTTACTCAAGAGTCTCTCCTTCCCTCACGCGGGAGTTGTAAGTAGCAATCAGGAGAGGTGGCAACTTTCCACTAGGCTCTCCGACAGGAGGCGGCAGGCGAGTCAGGTTCTACTGCACTTAATGCATCATCGTGAGACATCTTGAAGAGCATTGGATACTGATGACATTCTTAGGAAGCAAAGGGAACGAACATTTACACAGAACCTACTATGCACCCAGCGCTTTATACCTTCAGGTCACTTCTAGAAGCAGATGACATAGCATCCCTCATTTTACAGCCCAGGAGACCAAGATACAGAAGTGATGGACTTCATCCAAGGCCACAAAACAGCTCAAGGAGTAGGCCCCAGGTGCCTCGTCAGCCCCAGTGATAAGGTCTGCCTCCTTCCGGAAAACGGAACAGATGAAAATCTGAGACACCCCCCCCCCCCCCGCCCCGGGCCAAGCTGAAGAAGGAGAAAACAGGGCCATCTACTCAGGAGGAAGAGCTATGGGATACTCCTAGGTTCTTAGAACACAAAGAGGAGCCAGGCTCCTAATCACAGCTCCTTAAAAGCCCAGACTTATCTTCAGGTCCACGAGCTTATCTCTCCTTAAGCAAATTGGGGCTCAGCTGACTGGCAAAGCAAGCGAGGAGAACAGAGGGTGATAAAATATTCATTTCCTTAAATGGCACCTTCCTGCTCATGATGGACAGATGGGGAGATTCGGAGGTCAGGACTGTTAAAACACAAGTGTGATTTTTAGATAGTGACTTGAAACCTACACAGAATCCAATCATGGATATTCTGAGCAGAAAAGAACCTCGGGATTTATCTATTTACCAAGGTCAGAGGGACCTAGCTGTGCCTTGAGGGTGCCACCTCTCTTAGCTCTGTGACCTTGTGCAAGACACCTTATCTGTGTGAGCCCCACTCTTCTGGCTGTAAGGTGGGAATGATGGTTCAAACCACTTGTGAGATTAGATATTGCATGGAAACCCCATTCACAGAGCCGGCCCGAAGTCAACACTCAAAAAATGTTAAATAGCTATACATCACACATGTGCACGCGCACACACATGCATACACACGCTCACACACACACCACCTCCAAGAATCTTGCTGCCCTGTAAAGCAAGCCAACGTGTATCTCTAAAGAATCACTGTCCTGTGATGAGGCACGAGTTGCAAAAAGCAGCAAAGGGCCTAAGAGACCCTTTGGTCTTATCTGTTCATTTTACAGATGAGTACACTGAGGCTCAGAGAAGGAAAGAGACTTGACAAGCTGGATGAATGGCTGGGTTGGTACCTGGACTAAGATCCTGAATCCACACACCGTGTGACCCAGGACAGAGTCTCTTCTGTACATCCTTCTCACGGTTTTGCTTCCTTCTCATGTCAAGAATGGGTTATGGAGAAATTACTCCCCTACTTTATCACTGGGGAAAGGGAGTCTCAGAGAGGGCAAGTGTCTTGCCCACCATCACTCAGCCAAAGGTAGCTGGTGAGTGGCCAGAACTAGAGCCCAGCTCTCTGCCAGCCTAAACCAGTCCTTCCTGCACACAGGATGTCCCATACCCCCAAGAGTCCCCCCCCACAGGGCACAGCAGGAGCCCCGCCAACTACTGCTCAGTCGGAATTCAGAAACCCTGCACTGAAGAGCCTAATTTTGTCTTAAAAGGTATTTTTTCTTCAGAGGATGACTGGTTAATGGCTCCTTTGGCCCCACATTCAGACACCACGAGATTGTAGTAATTTAAAATCTGACACCGAGAACAAATACGCAAGTCCTCTGTGTAAAGATCGGAAACTTCGTGAGCGATGATTTTAAACAGAGCCGCAACCTCCCACTTGCATCCAGTCCAGACAGACCCAATGGAGAGAAGTACTTCGATTATTATTCCACAGGACTGGCTTAAACCAAGCTGTCGGCAGAGCTGATATGATACTTTGGTTGTTTAGAATTCTGTGCATTAGACAGAAACTGAAAATCTGTCTTACTTTTATTACACAAGTAATGCATGCCCAAGGCAGAAAAGCAGACCGCACAACTGAGTAAATTAAGAAAATTAAAATCACTTATTAAATACATTAAATTTTTTCCTTCCTCCATAATGTTTATATTTCAAATTAAGGCTAAAATTCTAATTAGTGAAAAATTGGATGCTGTCATATTTGTTTGATGTGTTGCTATAGTGCAATTTCTCAAACTCTTTGATGGAAAGGCATGGGGGAGGACGTGTGAGTTTTGCCTTCACTCACACTGGGTCTGATCTCAGCTCTACGTAGCTAGGCAGCCCCCAGGAAGCTATTCAACATCTCTGAGTCTCAGTTTCCCCTTGTAAAAGTGGGATTAAATACCTACTTTATATAGCATGTTTGTCAGAACCAAATGAATCACAAAAGTGTGTGCAGTGCTCTTCCCACGAGCAGACATTTAATAATATTAATTTACCTTCCCTTTAGGAGGGGTAAAACCTTGAGCTGTACTTTTCTTTTATTCAGTTAATATTCCCAGTGCTGTTTAGCAACAGCATTTTTCAATTTGTCCTTGATTTTCAGGAGTGCAATTGGATTTTTAAAGAAATTTGATGTGCACCTTTTTTGGAGAAATGAAGGACCCTCCTTTATCAGGGACAGCAACCCTCCAATGGATTACTTTATTCCAGTGGAAATGTTTGATTCTGGAGTCTATTGAAAATAGTGAAGACCCATTTGCAATCAGAACCCTGCACTCAATGGGCCGTTGAACATTTCCACAGCAAGGTGTAGAAAGTACTGGTCAATCTGTAAAAGCCAACTCAGAGGAAGGTATTTGGCCAAGCCTGGATGACTGAGGACACGGAGTGACCCTATGAGGGCAGCGCCCCAGGTTCTGCGGACCCCTCCGTGCAACAGCCGGAGGCAGTGGTGCAATGGAAGGAGAGAGAAGTGATTTTATACCTGATAAATGTTTTCTTCCGTTTCAGGATCACGGATTGGCTCGTGTCCAGCCTCAAACACAATGTACTATTACGGATCGGCCAGAGAGGAAAGGTCAGAGAGGAAGAAGAGAGAGGAAAAAAAAAAGGCATTTGGAATTCAGGATACAAATCACAGTGAGCATTAAAGAAACAGTCGCAACAGAACACACCTTCCAGGGGCAAGCAGGTCACTGAAAACGAGGCACGTGCTTTGCACACTCCTGCCTTTGCTAAGGAAGACAGCAAGGGTCTGAAGGCCAGTCAAGCAGCAGCGAAGGTGTGGGACCCCTGTGTATCTTTCTGGAGATGTGGCCTCTTTATTCTGTGACATTGGATCTCAGTAATGTTTGCGTGTGCCGCACTGCTGAGTGCAAATGACGTCTCCTAGGAACATCTAGGGGTCCAGCTTCATAATCTGGGTTACAGTGATCGCCTCCCTTTGCTTCTCTCAAGACCAATATCCTAACTTGGCCCTTAAGTGCTTAGAAACCCCAAATCTCCCCATCCCATAAATATCATCTGATTTTACATCCTTAGTTTTAAGTATTGAAAATCAGTGTTGTTGTTTTTTTTCCCCTGTGCATGTTTCAGACTCTAAAGGACCAGGCCGTTTCAAACAGGGCGACATTCTTCATTCTCTGTGCTGTCCGTTAGCAGGGGCCGAGCTCATATTCTAGACAAATCCTTGCCCTCAGCGTTCTAGCATGAGGCCATGCTGTTGAGCACATCTTTGGCTTTTGTTAAAAGCCACTTAGGCTAGATACTCCTACTTCAAACACACATATAACCCAGGTATGTCCGGTTAGAAATACAAGTTCAGGGTTTTACGTCCAACAAGTCCATTTATTGGCTCCTTTCTCTCCTTGGGAATAAGCATGAGGCGGGGAGGGGGCTGCTGGGGTTGGCGGTGGGAGGCCTCCTCTTCCCTTCTTTCTGCATCTGTTTGTACAGAGCACATACTTGGATCCTAGACAAGTCATCTCTCCAGCCCCACTGGGTGGCAACCTTGCAGAGTTCAGGGAAAACTGTGGGCTGGGCTGTCTCTAGGATCACCCTTACCCTCCTCCCAACAGCTCCCATGGCATGAGCTGGCTCATCAGAGGGGCCAGAGACTTGCCCCCACAGCCTTCCCAAAACATACAAACTGCCCTTTGCGCTTGTACTCCAAATCGCCAAAACTCAGTCCCTAGCCCCAGTTCCTAACTCAGAGAAGCCTCCTCATGGCCTTGGAATATTCAGGAGGCTCCCAAAAACATCCAGCTCTGGGATCAAATATTTATAGATTGTGGAGGGGGCCAATGCAGGGTTAAGAAGGGAGAAGTGCAACTCCAGATCCCATGTAACTGAGGCCAACCAAACTTCTGTTCATTTACTATAGAAATCCACCCCCCGAGGGGCTGGCAGCCCTCAGCCTTGAAACTAGTCTTGGTCCCTCTCCAGGCTCTGTGGTCAGGGTGCTCTTTAGGGCTCTGACCAACTGTCTGTAACACGGGCCTTGCCACTCCTGATACTAAAAACACCGATGGTTTTCAGAAATTACCTGGTACACAGGATCTTCAACATCCTCTTCCAAAATTGTCTACAGCAAAGCGAGACAAGAGAGGTTGAAAAGCAGAGGATATAAACAAAGGGAGAGGTATGAGATTGCATTCAGAAATTACAGGACAGCCGAGAAACCAGCTCTGGGGAGGAGAGGCTGCTGGGTCATTTCAGGTAGAAAACAACCCACAGAGGAGAAATGAAAACTCTTGCAGCCACCCTACTCCCACCCTTAACAACAGCAAAAAAAAAAAAAAAAAAAAAAAAAAAAAGCAATTGTGTCTCTTCTCTTCACTCCACCACCCCCACCCACCCCAAAATCTTCCTCGGAATTCAAAATTTCACTCTCGCGCGCGTGTCCAGAATTTCAGAGAATAAAAGATCATCTCTAACGCCTTGCTTGCTTTCGGTGCCTGTAATTGACACGGGAACCTTTCATCTTTGTTTATTTCTCCTTGTCAGCAGGAGGACAAGCCCTGACTGTCAGTTTTCACATCTGTTTATTTTAAGGCCCAGTCTTCTCTGGCACTCCGATAAATTCACAGGTATACCTGATACACAGCTTGTTCACACTGCTTATCCTTTTGTGCCTTTTTTTCCAACTCTTCTCTTTGCTTCAATTCATAAATAAGTTGAAAGAGATCTCTCAAGTCCAGAATAACAGGTTCAGCCTGGAGTAAAAAGGGGGGATGAAGCACATGAGTACGGGAATAGTCCTGAGCCTGAGCGGCCTGTTTTGTTGTTTTTTTTTTTTTTTTTTGCCTGCTACAACCCACAGCCCTTCCTATTCCTATTAAACTGAAAGCATTCCATCTTTAATTAATTCTACCTTGTTTATATTGGTTTAGCAAATTGCATCTAGGCTAAAGTTCATTTCTTCAACTAATTATATTTGCAAATTCATAATAATCATAAGCATAAAAGGCATTGCTTTTATTTATTAGTAATTTCGAATACAATAAAATTAGGGTAGGCCTTATGCAAAACAGCTATTTGTTTTCTCTTATTTTCTTTTTAAACGAGGCTATGAACACAAGGAAACTTATTTGTATAGTGGTGCCTCCATCCAGCTTCGTCAGAAAGGGAAATAATTAGTCATTACGAAATACACATTAGGAAAACAACAAGAAGACTGGATGGGGCCTGAGCTCGCCGTTTCCTTGCTCTGAGGCAATTTATGCTCTCGAGATGGGAGCCTGAGCATCAGCATGGCTTCATCCTCCATCAGAGGCGGCCTTCAAAGACTCACAGCATGACCGGACATGCCGTCCCCTACAGCCCTCCTCGGATGGGGATACTCACCGCCTGGGCTGTTTTTATGGCAACAAATCTGTGATTCCCTTCCTTCCCGCAAACGTATCCAAAGGCCCGGTGATCTGTGATGTCCTTTGCGATGTAGGAAATTTCATGAACAGCATGATGATGCTGAAGGGCCTGTCGGAGACAAAAGGAAGAGCATATTTCACGGGACTTTCCCTCCGAGCTGTTGATCAATAAGAGATGTGTTTCTGCTACGTGTGAACAGGCCCGAAGGGCTTTGGGAAAGCTGTTGGGTCCAGATGGAAGGAAAAAGAGCTGCGCCTGCCCTTGAGAGATGGAGGTTTCCCTCCATGGTCTCAGCGCTGTGACCGGAGAGATAAACAGGACTGCTCATACGCTGAAGGCGCGTCTGTGGCGGTGGCTCCCTCCCAGCTTGCCGGGGCCAGTTGCCGCAATTTGGCGGGGCAGGCCCCAGCTGCAGCTGGCTTCAGGACACAGCCCAGTCGGAGCTCGGGTGGGATATTTAATACACTCCCGCACCAGGACCTCTGCGTGCGGTGCAGGAGGAGTGCCCTGTGCAGAGACTGCGGTGGTGGTGGGGGGTGCGTTCAAAGCCACGGGACCACCACTGCATACGGGTGCAACCCTTAGTTGAGAGATGGTGACAGAGTATCTTGAGGAATGAACACCTTTTTCTGTCTTATACAGAGTCACCATCTGGGCTACAGGTGGACTTTCTTATTTCTGAGACTTCTCAGGGGCTGGCTGCTCTGTGGGCAATGCCCATTCTTCTATCCATTTGCTTGAATCCTGGTCCTTTCTGAAAGGGTATTTGAGGGGCACCCGGGTGGCTCAGTGGTTTGAGCGGGTGTCTTTGGCTCAGGTGGTGATCCCAGGGTCCTGGGATTGAGCCTTGCCTGGGGCTCCCAGCTCAGCGGGGCATCTGCTTCTCCTTCACCCTCTGCTCACCTCTTTCTCTCTCTCTGTGTCTCTCAAATAAATAAAAAAAAATCTTTAAAAAAAGACATCTGAATAGCACCACCTTTGCAAAATCCCCCCAGAACAAGGCCTGCTCTCCCTCTCCCTGCAGAAATAATATATAATTCCATAGAACTTCAGTCTTGAGGCACTTGGGTGACTCAATCGTTAAGCATCTGCCTTAGGCTCAGGTCATGATCTCAGGGTCCTGGGATTGAGCCCCATGTTGGGACTTGGTGGTAGGGGGGCTCCCTGCTCAGCAAGAGACCTGCTCTTCCCACTTCCCTGCTTGCGTTCCCTCTCTCGCTGTGTTTCTGTCTTTCAAACAAATAAATAAAATCTTAAAAAAAAAACAACAACAAAACTTCAGTCTCTACTGATGCCCAAATTCCTAACCGATTCCTCACACACAGGCCCGCATAATCTTGCTTTGAAAAACCTTCCTTCTCTGATAGATTTGCCTGATTCCTTATCTGTCTTCCCCACCAGACTCCATCTTCCTCAACTCTGTCATCCTCGAAACTTGTGCTATGTTTGATGCATAGCTGCTGACTCAAGAGTAAATTGGGGTAGTTGACCAGTAATTCAGAAACCTTCTGAAACCGACCTTCCCACCTTTATTGCCGAAGCCTCCACAAATAATGCTGGCCATCCTTGGCGATGATCATCTTTGTGACCATCGTCCTGCATTAAAACCTACTTAAAGCAATCCTCAGTAAACAGTACCCTGTATATAGGCTTACATAGGCAGCTGGGCATTTTATGATGCGCTTCAAGTCCTTATATAAGGTTTTTTATTATTATTATTATTATATTAGGTATTTCGAGGCTTGAATTCTAGCCACTGTGTGAACAGAAGGCACTCACTGTACCTCTCCGGACGTTTGTCAATTCTTCTATCCAATGAGAAGTTTGTACCAGATCAGTGGCTCCTAACCCAAAGCCCAGCATCTCCTTGGGTCATTAAAGGTAATAAAAAGAAGTCCTAAGCACTTTTCAGCATTTCAAAAAGCGAAACAGAAATGTGTAACTATCCTTAACTAAGACAACACATTCCATTGTGCATGCAAATGAAAATGCCAAGTTCATTTTAGAATTGCATCAGGTTGCTGTTGGACTCCTTAGTTCATCTTTGAGAGGATTCTCTTTAGTGTTTTAGTTATGGTTTGAATAATTCAAATAGGAAACCGAATGACTATAAATACATTTTTTTTTGGTGGACAAAATTCTTCGCTGCCACTGAGTCCATGGAGGGAGGGAAACATGTACCACAAAGGGGACTTAGTTACAAAAGTAGTGGGAATCACTGGAATAGATGTTCCAGAAGGTTCACCCCAGATCCTTTAGCCATTAGGACCTTGAACCACATGGCTAGCCTCTCAGGTCAGTGGGCACATGGTGGCTAGCACCTTAGCTCTGGACACTGGCCCTGACCTTCCGAAATGCTGACTGCTACCATCTCCCTAGGTCTCTAGACTCTTGCCATCTTTCTAGGATTCTGCTAGAATCCCAGGTGCTCCCATCTTTCTAGGATTCTAAACTCATGAATCATTTCTGCCATGGAATTTGCTGCTGTACCCTAAGCTTCTAGGTTCTGATCACTCACTAACCTCTCTGACTACTCTTGGGACCCTCTCTTTAGGTTCTTGCCTTGTCACGTTGCCCACTGCCCAATGGACATCATGTTTGGAGGGCGGTATCCCTGTCTGGCCACCCTTGCCCCTAATCGGCCATAAGACAACCGTATAACTCTCATGAATCCTGACCCAGATAAAGTTGGTGAGGAAGGAAATGTTTGTTGTAACAGACTCAGAATCCATTTATTCTTCCTTTATTAAGAGGACGTACTTAGCTGGTGGAGGAAAGCTGCATAAAGGGTGGTGGCTTCTTCATGGTGTTAATGATGTAAAACTGATGAGACTAATATTCATGCAACACAGGGTACTGATTTATAGGCTTCTATGAACTAGAATGGTATGCGGCAGGGGAAAGTGGGAGACACAGACATCCTTCCTCTCCCCCTCTCCAGAAAGTGTTCCTCTCTCTGCGTAACGTGGACAATGTTATCCGCATCTCCTATTAAATCAAAGTTTGATGACAGAAGCTTATTGATTGCCACGTAGAATATTGCTCTAAAATTAAACTGTGATTAGAAGTCTTCCTGGTGGAATGAGATTTGGAGATGATCGTGCAAGGATAAAATATCACCTCCGATGCAAGACAGCAGATGGAGGGGCATTAATTTATCTGGGAATCCTCATTAAGTGTTTTAAAATCAAAACATTTTTAATGCCTGATGATACCTCATATTGCCTCGCCAAGTATAGCTCTGTGCATGCTTGAAGGGCCTAAAGAGATCTGTAACATTATCTTTTCCCATAGTTAATTTTATGACATGTTAAAAAGGATGACTGTGAAAGTGGCTCATTTATTTGGAAACGAAGAATCATTGAGGGGATATGTCTCCACTTTCTCCAACCTCAACTATGCAGACATAGTACAGATACATCTGAATTCCGCTAACCCGTATGGTCATATTACTGGCATTCATCTTGGCAACCCGGAGAATCTTGCAAATACTTCTTCACGGAGGCTCAAAATTGCTCCATGTTTTCAAGCAGATTTTATCAGCACCATCAAAGCCAGAGGAATCCTGAACCTCATATTGTTCGAATGAGTTTATGGAAAGACTGAGGGTCAGAGAGTTCTGGCGGGACCAGTCTTAAATGTAGCCCGTGCTCCCTCTACAAAGGATGACAAGCCACTGAACAGAGAAAGCAAGATGATGTAGGATCAGGGGCTCCATTCCTTAGCTTCTGGACTTCCAGTCCAGCAACGAAGCCGGACTGGAGGGGCTGGGACAAGGAAGGAGGACAGCTGCCCAGGAGGCAGAGCCGAAGTCGTTCTGGCTTCTGGCACGTATCGGAGGTCAGAGAGGGTCATAAATCAGAAGGTTTGGGTTGAAGGACACTTTGCTTTAAGGATCTCAAAGAAAAAGGTCAAGACAGCATGTTCTGGGAACGAGCACTTGGGAGCTTGTGGCTGTCTGTGGTTTCTGCTGAGCCGTCAGGCTGGAAAGGCGTGGCGAAGCCCATCGTCATGGGAAATGAAGACTGCCTCATCCCAGGAGGGTTTCTGGAGAGACCTCCTGGGGCAGCATGAGTTGTTCTGCAATGGGTAAAGAATGCTGGACCAGAAGGGGAGGGGAGGCGAGAGGAAAGGCAGAGTCTGGTCATCCTTCCATGCTTCCTTTGGAAAAGAGGTTTGTGGTTTTTTGTTGTTGTTGTTGTTTATTTGTTTATTTATTTATTTATTTAGGTCTTAGTAAAATGGTCTAGATACTAAAGTACTACAAAAAATCAAAGCAGGTTATTTGGTTTTAGAAACAGTATTTAATAACCCAGCATTTGTCTGCCACAGCTTTGTCCGTTTCTCCCATTGTGAACTCTCCTCATTATTCTGGGCATGAGAGTTGTTACTGAAGAATTCTGAGGCAGATGAGCCCCCTCAGTCCCGTCTGACCTTCCTCCCACCACTGAACTTCCGGTGACCCAGACCGTGGAGAGTCTGAGGACTGCCCCTCTGGGTTCTGTACTTCCCCCAACCTCTGTGCCACTGTTCACAATGTTTTCTCTGCCGATGGCCCTCTGCATCCCCTCACCTGTGCTTTTGTGACTCCTTGTGACTAACTCATACAGAGGCTCGAAGCCTAGCTCTAATAGCGCCCTCGTCCGAGGAACCTTCCCTGACCCCCCCTTCCCCTCCATGATGATTCCTGTCCCTAGCTCTCCTGGCACTGTATTTGCTCCTCTATCCAGGATGCCTCACATGTATTCATTTTGCTTCCTGTTTACCCCTTCATCTAGTTATTCAAACCGTGTGTCCTTACTGAGTAGCTGGCAGGTGCCGGGTCTCCTGCTTGACACTGTATCCACCCGGGGATTACAACACAGGCCCTGCCTGGAGGACCTTGCAACCACATAGAACAGGCAGGCAAAGAAACCAACAACCATGAGATAGTAAGACGAGCTTATATTAAAGGCGTGCATGGGGTGTGACACTGGCTTGGTGCAGGGACAGGGAAGGGCATCAGGGGAGACTTGGCAAAGGAGCTGGGCTTGAACTGAATCTTGGAGGGGAAGAGAAAGGGGAAGTTCCCAGGAAAGTGGCGGAAGGCCATTCTAGGCAGACAGAAA